TACAAAAAACTAGCCGGGCGAGGTGGCGGGCGCCTGTAGTCCCAGCTACTCGGGAGGCTGAGGCAGGAGAATGGTGTAAACCCGGGAGGCGGAGCTTGCAGTGAGCTGAGATCCAGCCACTGCACTCCAGCCTGGGTGACAGACAGAGCGAGACTCTGTCTCAAAAAAAAAAAAAAAATTTTATATATATATATATATATATATATGTATATATGTATATCCATTATACTATAGTTTCCTGAAGTTTCCATCACAGGCACAGTCATGGCCACATTCCAGTAATGCTTATAATTCCACGACCCATATGGCTTAATGCATGCTTTGGTTTTCAGAATCTATCACTTACTTCTACAAATCAATAAGGAAAGGACCAGCAGCTAATAGAAAATGTGACCAAGATTTGAAAAGGAGGAACCGTAAAAGGTGCCCACCTGTACGGTCAGGTTGAAGCAAATTAAAGCCACAGTGAGATGCTGCCGCCTTATACCTGCCAGGCAGCAGAAATGTTAGCATTTGACCATGTCGAGTTGGCAGGATAAAGATCAGCAGGGACTCTTGTTCGTTGCTGGCAGGATGACCTTGTCACCAGCACTTGCGAGGTCGCCGCTAGGTGCACGGGCATCTGCTCCTGGGATTGTTCCAATGAAACACCTGCCTGAGCGGCTCAGGAGAGGTGACAGCGACAGCAGCACCATTTAGTAGCCAGCCTGCGAGCCGATACACATCCACACCCCATCAGTGGCTGCATGCGGTGTATCTGACGGGACACCAGGTGAAGGGGGCCCAGCTGCACAAGGGGACAGAGGCAGACTTGGCTGCACATCAGCAGAGAAGTCTCAGAATTGTCAGTATCAAGTTCAAAACACGGAACACGCAGCAGTGTGGCTCAGGGCCACACACGGGGTACAGCCATCAGGACAAGCAAAGACCAAGAAGCACCAAGTCCAAGTTAGGCAGCGTCTCAGGCCGGGGCACCGAGGAAGGGCACAGCAGCACTGTGGTGACCAGGTCCCAGTTCCATCCTAGGTGGCAGCCACAGGCCATTTGTGTCTTCCGTTCACACAATTACACACACTGCGTTGTGCCCATACACATCTTCAAACCTTCTAATACAGGCGTGCCTGCGCAGGTAGGGGTGGACGCCGTCCTGGGTGTCGTCCCACGGAAGGGCACAGGACAGGCTGCCGCCAGAGCAGAGGTCACATGGGGTGGGGGTGTGAGGGGTGCGTTTCAGGAGGAGCAGGTGCGAAGACACTGCTAGTGCTTGACTCTTCTTCCCAGACCTGTGCTCTTGAATTTGGGGAAACCCTTGCTCTTCTGTTGGGCCTGAAAGAAAATCCAGTGTGCCTGACTGTCTGCAGGCCCCCTGTCACAGGCTGAGCTGGGGTGGTGCCACCGGGAAAACTCAGCGCATGTCCCTGGTGCCAATGATGACAGCATCAGTCATGGACTTACCTTCTTTTGTTAATGAGATCTTAGAAATGTGAAAACAATACACTCTTCTTTAAAATAATTGTGGTCAGTACACATAACTCTTACCATCTTAACCATTTCTTTTTTTTTTTTTTTTTTTTTTTTTTTTGAGAGGGAGTCTCGCGCTGTGGCCCAGGCTGGAGTGCAGTGGCCGGATCGCAGCTCACTGCAAGCTCCGCCTCCCGGGTTCACGCCATTCTCCTGCCTCAGCCTCCCTATAGCTGGGACTACAGGCGCCCGCCACCTCACCCGGCTATTTTTTTGTATTTTTTAGTAGAGACGGGGTTTCACTGTGTTAGCCAGGATGGTCTCGATCTCCTGACCTCGTGATCCGCCCGTCTCGGCCTCCCAAAGTGCTGGGATTACAGGCTTGAGCCACCGCGCCCGGCCTAACCATTTCTAAGTATACAGTTCAGTGACATTAAATATATTCACATTTTTGTACAGCCATCACCACCCTCCAACCTCCAGAACTCTTCATGTTGCAAAACTGAAACACAGCACCCATGAAGCGGGGACTCCCCTGCCCCGGGCAGCTCTTTCTGTCTCTGAGTCCCACTACTCTACGGACCTCATAACAATATTTGTCCTTTGTGACTGGCTTACTTCACTGAGCATAGTGTCCTCAGGGTTCCTCCATGTTGTAGCTGTGACAGGAGTCCCTTCCTTTCAAAGGCTGGATAACAATTCCATTGTATGCAGACGCCGCATTTTGATTTTGATGCTGCCCGTTTGTGGAGGGACACTCTGCTGCTTCCCCCCCGTGGCTGTTGTGGATAATGCTGCTGTGAGCGTGGGTGTGCAGACGTGGCTTTGAGACCCTGTTTTCTGTTGTGGATTTATACCCAGCAGTGGGATTGCTGGAGCCCATGGTAATTCTGTGTTTCATTTTTTGAGGAATTACCATACTGTTTCCCACAGTGCCTCCAGCATTTTACGTTTTTACCCGCAATGCAGGAGGTTCCGATTCCTCCACATTCTCACCAACGCTTATCTTCCATGTGTGTGTTGATAGTAGCTGTCCTAGAGGGTGTGCGGTGGTGTCTCAGCGTGTCCTCATCTGCCTCCCTCAGGATCAGTGACATGGAGCATCTTTTCACGTGCTTGTAGGCCATTTGTATATCATCTTCGGAGAAATGTTTACATAAGTCCTTTGTCCGTTTTTAATCAGATTGGGGTTGTTTTGCTGAGTTGTAGGAGTTTCTTAAATACATTCTAATAACTATATAGAATATAGATAATAGGTCCTTTGTCCATTTTTTAATCAGATTATGTTTCTTTTTGCTGAGTTTTTTTAATATATTCTAATAACTAGAATATATAGAGAATATAGATATATACATCCTTTATCCATTTCTTTTTTTTTTTTTTTTTTTTTTTTTTTTTTTTTTTTTTTTGAGACGGAGTCTCACTTTGTCGCCCAGGGTGGAGTGCAGTGATGTGATCTCGGCTCACTGCAACCTCGGCCTCCTGGGTTCCAGCGATTCTCCTGCCTCAGCCTCCCAAGTAGCTGTGATTACAGGCTCCTGCCACCACTCCTAGTTAATTTTTGTATTTTTAGTAGAGATGGGGTTTTGCCATGTTGACCAGGGTGGTCTCCAACTCCTGACTTCAGGTGATCCACCTGCCTCAGCCTCCCAAAGTGCTGGGATTACAGGTATGAGCCACCACGCCCGGCCCTGTTTCTTTTTCTTTTTTTTTCTTTTTTTTTTTGTTTTGGTGACAGAGCGAGACTCTGTCACCCAGGCTGGAGTGCAATAGCGCAATCTTGGCTCACTGCAAGCTCCACCTCCTTCAGGTTCACGCCATTCTCCTGCCTCAGCCTCCCGAGTAGCTGGGACTACAGGCGCCCGCCACCACGCCTGGCTAATTTTTTGTATTTTTAGTAGAGACAGGGTTTCACCGTGTTAGCCAGGATGGTCTCGATCTCCTGACCTTGTGATCCACCCACCTTGGCCTCCCAAAGTGCTGGGATTACAGGCATGAGCCACTGTGCGCAGCCCACACCTGGCCCTTTATCCACTTTTTTAACCAGTTTGTTCTGCTGAGTTGTAGGAGTTTTTTTGTTTTTTGTTTTTTGACATATTCCAATAACTAGGATAGAGAATATAGATATATAGAGAATATGTATAGAGAGAAAATAGAATATATGTGTTCTAGATATTAATATGATTTTAAAATATTTTCCCTCATTCTCTGGGTTGCCTCTGTTGATAGTATCCTTTGAAGCACAAAAGTTTTTATTTATTTGTTTAGAGACAGGGTTTCACTCTGTTGCTTAGGCTGGAGTGCAGTTGGACGATCTCAACTCATTTCAGCCTCAACTTCCCAGGCTCAAGCCATCCTCCCCCCTCAGCTGTCCCAAGTAGCTGGGACCACAGGCACAGGGACCACACCCAGCTAATTTTGTGTATTTTTAGTTGAGATGAGGTATTTCTTTGTTACCCAGGCTGGTTTTGAGCTCCTGGGCTCCAGTGGTCCACCCACCTCAGCCTCCCAAAGTGCTGGGACCACAGGTGTGAGCGCTGCATCGAGTCAAAAGTTGCACATTTTCACGAAGTCTAATGTGTCTATTTTTCTTTTGCTGCCCCTGCTTTTGGTGTCACATCCAAGAGATCATTGCCAAATCCAGTGTCATGAAGCTTTTCCCCTGTGTTTCCTTCTAAGAGTTTTATAGTCTTAGCTCTCACAGTTAGGTCGTTTATTTTGAGTTAATTTATATACGGTGTTAGGTAGGAGTCCAGCTTTATATTTTTGCAGGCGGATATCCAGTTGTTGTGACACTATTTGTTGAAAGACTGTCCTTTCCCCATCGAATAGTCTTGACACCCTTGTTGAAGATCATTTGACCATACATGAGGGTTTATTTCAGGACTGGAATTTCTTAAAGATTAAATAATACTGGACCCATCCCTCACATTCCTCAGTGTCCTAGTGCCCTGCATGGTGAGTTCCCGGATTCGGGGTGGGGTGCATCCAGCCCTGCCACTGGGCCCGCTCACTAGAAGTCTTGGTTCCGCCTCTTCTTTCATGTTTCCCAAAGCCAAACCTGGTATAAGAAGAATTTGAATCAATGTTTTTCTCAAATTATTTGCATGTAAAAGGAGTTCACTTTTTCACTTGCAACTAAATGTAAAGTGGTTAAGCAGTGGCATGGGTCAGTGTTCATTTTGTCTACAATTGATACTAAAGAGTTAGATCTTGGTAGACGCAGTGGCGCTTGTAATCCTAGCACTTTGGGAGGCCGGGCGTGGTGGCGTGTTCCTGTAATCCCAGCTACTCGGAGGCTGAGGCAGGAGAATCGCTTGAACCCAGGAGGAGGAGGTTGCAGTGACCTGAGATTGCGCCACTTCATTCCAGCCTGCACAGTAGAGTGAGCCTCGATCTCAAAAAAAAAAGATCTTTAACTTCCAGTCCTGCTGCCCCCGCCCCCTGCGTGTTTGCTTCACAATACATGAATCCCATACGTGCCTCCTTCACACGCGTGTTCTCTCTGTAACCCACCGCTTTGTCTGATTGGTTGACAGGTTACGTTTTTCTCTCGTCCCAGCTGTGTGGACAGTGCCACACGCCCTCCTGGACAACGACGGCTCTTGCGTGCATTTTCCAGTGTTTCTTTTGTCAGAGAGGCCAGCAGAGCCGCGGTTCTTCCAGAACCAGCCCTGAGCTGAGTGAGGAGTGCCCAGGAGAGATGGTGAAAATGACAAAGTCCAAAACTTTCCAAGCGTATCTGCCGAATTGTCACCGAACGTACAGCTGCATCCACTGCAGAGCACACCTGGCCAATCATGATGAGCTCATCTCCAAGGCAAGTGGCTTATGCCAAAAAACTGATAGCACAATGAATATTTGTTGTGGTGGTGGTACCTACTTAGCGGAAGAATATTTAAGCATCACATGACTTCCTGAGTGTGCTGTGTCCTGAACGTCTAGAGCCTTCCAGGCAGTGCTGGTGAGCGTTTTGTGCATGGTTAACTGTGGCTATGCCACGATCTCAGATGTGATCCTGGCACAGTGGTTTCCAGGGTTTCCAGGGCCGGGCAGCTGGGACTGCCAGGATCACGAGCGGCAAGGTGAATCACTTGTTTCTCAGAGCAGAAAACCAGAGAGGACTGAATGAGCAAAAGAAGTCTAGAAAAATCTGTGGAAATAGTTTAATAATAAGGGTATTAAGAATTTTTTTTTTTTTTTTTTTTTTTGAGACGGAGTCTCGCTCTGTCGCCCAGGCTGGAGTGCAGTGGCTGGATCTCAGCTCACTGCAAGCTCCGCCTCCCGGGTTTACGCCATTCTCCTGCCTCAGCGTCCCGAGTAGCTGGGACTACAGGCGCCCGCCACCTGGCCCGGCTAGTTTTTTGTATTTTTTAGTAGAGACGGGGTTTCACCGTGTTAGCCAGGATGGTCTCGATCTCCTGACCTCGTGATCCGCCCGCCTCGGCCTCCCAAAGTGCTGGGATTACAGGCTTGAGCCACCGCGCCCGGCCGGTATTAAGAAATTTTAAAAACTCAGTATGGTTAAGAAGGAAAGGAGTTGCTCAGGAAGATGCCCCAGAGGATGTGACTGCATTTGCAGGGTCTGTAGGAGCCCTGGGTGAAGCTCTGGCTGGTCTCTGTGCACAGGACCCGTGAGCAGCCTTGAAGATGTAAATAAGATCCCCCGGCCCCTCCTTACTGTGCTGAGCTCCTTATTAGCCGTGTGTGGCGTTTATCATCAACCAGCTGTGAACATTTAAACAGGTCAAACATCATGGAGGAGCTGATGCTCACTCAGGGCATGACAGTGTTCTCCCCACATCCTCAGGTCATGACCTCCCCCTAGCCCCACAGGTTGTGACCTCCCCCCATCCTCAGGTCATGACATCTCCCCATCTTCACAGGTCATGACCACTTTGGAAACAAAGTTTGTCAGGAAGTTGTACCTTTCAGGAATCTTTTCTTCTTTAATAGGTATTTTATTTATTTATTTGTTTGTTTATTTTGTAGAGACAGGGTTTTACCATGTTGCCCAGGCTGGTCTTGTACTCCTGGCCTCAAGTGATCCTCCTGCCTTGGCCTCCCAAAGTGCTGGGATCATCGGTGTGAGCCGCCACGCCTAGCCAGGAGTCTCTTAGGTTTCCTGTTTAACTCAATGAGAAGAACATTTACCTGCTTGTATTTTCACTAGGTAATAGTGAGAGGCTCCTCATTTCATCATCTGAGATAGAAACTGTTGAACGAGGCAGAGTTTCTGCTCTCTCATTGCCTCTGGGGCTCCTGTGTGCACTGGGAAGTGTGAGGTGAGAAGTAGAAGGAGCCAGGCACCTCATTTCCTCAGTGTTTTCTGAGGTAGGCTCAGTGTGTAAAATGACATGAGGTAACAAGAGGCGGAGCTGCTCTGGGCCCCCAGGTAGGGGCAGTGAAGCTTGTGGCCTTGTGGAGCCCTGTGACACCTGTGTGTTGGCCATGACCTAAACAGGTGACCTGAGCACTGAGCAGGTGGTCAGTGTCCAGCCCCATGCATGGTTTTGTTTCGGAAGCGTGCCAGGTATGTTCATTGCTACATGGTCAAAAGGAATTTGAGATGCTTCTGTTGAAGAGCCTGGAGGTCATCACTGAGCTGTTTTAAAAATTGTATCAGCTGGGTACGGTGGCTCACGCCTGTAATCCCAGCACTTTGGGAGATCTAGGTGGGCGGATCACCTGAGGTCAGGAGTTGGAGACCAGACCAGCCTGACCAACATGAAGAAACCCCGTCTCTACTGGAAAAAAAAAATATATATATATATATGGCCAGGCACAGTGGCTCACGCCTGTAATCCCAGCACTTTGGGAGGCCAAGGCAGGCAGATCACGAGGTCAGGAGATCGATACCATCCTGGCTAACACAGTGAAACCCCATCTCCACTAAAAATACAAAAAATTAGCCAGGCGTGGTGGCGGGCGCCTGTAGTCCCAGCTACTTGGGAGGCTGAGGCAGGAGAATGGCGTGAACCCGGGAGGCAGAGGTTGCAGCGAGCCGAGATAGTGCCACTGCACTCCAGCCTGGGCGACAGAGTGATACTCCATCTCAAAAATTAAAAAAAAAAAAAATACAAAATTAGCTGGGTGTAGTGGCACATGCCTGTAATCCCAGCTACTTGGGAGGCTGAGGCAGGAGAATCATTTGAACCCAGGAGGCAGACTTTGCGGTGAGCCGAGATTGCACCACTGCACTCCAGCCTGGGCAACAAGAGTGAAACTCTGTCTAAAAAAGAAAAAAAAAAAATTGTATCAAGAGCAGAAGCCTGGCTGGGCACGGTGGCTTACACCTGTAATCCCAGCACTTTGGAAGGCCAAGGTGGGTGGATCACTTGAGGTCAGGAGTTTAAGACCAGCATGGCTAACATGGTGAAACACCGTCTCTATTAAAAAATACAAAAAAATTAGCTGGGCATGGTGGCACACACCTGTAATCCCAGCTATTCAGGAGACTGAGACATGAGAATTGCTTGAACGTGGGAGGCAGAGGTTGCAGTGAGCTGAGATCACACCAGTACACTCCAGCCTGGATGACTGAGAGTGAGACTCTGTCTCAAAAAAAAAAAAGAAAGAAAGAAAAGAAAAGCAGAAGCCTGCTCAGAAGTCATTCGGTGCCAAATGAGCGTTTCAGGACGAAAAAAGTGCCAAGAACTAAGCTCTCTGAGCACACAGACCACCAGAAAGGATTGGACCCTGTGCCTCCATGGGTGATGGGCCGGGTGAGGTGGCACATGGGCCAGGCGAGGTGGCAGGATGACGACGAGAGTGAGCTCTTCTCCCTTCCGTGGTGATTCTGATGAGGATTCACTGAGACCACAGAGAACACCTGCCCCACAGAACAGGCTCCAGCACCTGCGAGGCGAGAGGCACTGTCTCCAGAGCCTCTAAGTTAGTATTTGTCACTAACAAGGGATCCCCTGGCTCCAGGGAGCCTGTTGCTGCTGTAGGCAGCTCTGGTTACTAGAAAGCTCCATCTAGTTAGCAAACTCTGATCTGTGGTCCAAATCTGCCACACCACCTGTTTATGCAAGGTTTTCATAGATCACAGCTGTGCTCATCTGTTTACAGAGTAATTAGAACAAGGACCATATGTCCCCCAAAGCCTAAACTACTTCTCTCCTGGCTCTAATTTACAGAAGGAGTTTGCTGGCCCCAACTCTGATAAGACAGCTCTGAGTCTGAATCACAGAGCTGCTCTTGTCTCTGAGCCAAACCCTATTTAAAAGTAAGGACTTTCAGAGTAGGTGAGAATTAGGAAATTCAGTCCAGAAAATTGAAGACTGATGAGGATGTGGGAAGAGTCTATAAGATGATTATTAAACTGAACATAGGCTGGGCGCGGTGGCTCACGCCTGTAATCCCAGCACTTTGGGAGGCCGAGGTGGGCAGATCACGAGGTCAGGAGATCGAGACCATCCTGGCTGACACAGTGAAACCCTGTCTCTGCTAAAAATACAAAAAATTAGCCGGGCGTGGTGTCGGGCGCCTGTAGTCCCAGCTACTCAGGAGGCTGAGGCAGGAGAATGGTGTGAACCAGGGAGGCGGAGCTTGCAGTGAGCTGAGATTGCACCACTGCACTCCAGCCTGGGCAACAGAGCAAGACTCTTTCTCAAAAAAAAAAAACAAAAAACTGAACATAGAACAATATTCCTAATCCTAGAATGCCACTTAAGGGAATACTCATTTTTAAGCCTGAATGCTGAGGAAAAAGAGCCTCCCCAGATCTCAGCAGCTTAAAACACAGGTTTATTTCATGCTCAGGTGGGATGTCTACCAGGGACAGCTGGGGGCTCTGCTTTGTTGTTGTTGTTGTTGTTGTTGTTCGAGACAGAGAGCCTTGTTTTGTCCCCCAGGCTGGAGTGCAGTGGCATCATCTCCACTCACTGCAACCTCTTGTCTCCCAGGTTCAAGCGAGTCTCCTGCCTCAGCCTCCCAAGTAGCTCAGATTACAGGTGTCTGCCACCACACCCAGCTAATTTTTTGTATTTTTAGTAGAGATGGGGTTTCACCATGTTGTCCAGGCTGGTCTCGAACTCCTGGCCTCAAGTGATCCTCCCAACTCGGCCTCCCAAAGTGCTGGGATTATAGGCATGAGGCATTGTGCCGGGCCCTTTTCATTTTTTAAAAATTATATAATATTGCTCATAATCACATTAAAATAATGTATATGTGTAAACAAGGAGACTTGCTTCGTCCTCCTGCCTTGTCCTGCTCCATTCCTTGGAGATGTCACTGTTAGTAGTTTGGCATCTGTTGTCTTTATTTTGTTTTAATGGAAACATATTTTTCACATTATTATTATTATTATTATTATTATTATTATTATTATTTTTGAGATGGAGTCTTGCTCTGTCACCCAGGCTAGAGTGGTGGCACAATCTTGGATCACTGCAAGCCCTGCCTCCCAGGTTCACGCCATTCTCCTGCCTCAGCCTCCCGAGTAGCTGGGACTATAGGCGCCCGCCACCATGCCTGGCTAATTTTTTGTGTTTTTAGTAGAGATGGGGTTTCACCATGTTAGCCAGGATGGTCTCGATCTCCTGACCTCGTGATCTAATTTCACTTTAAATAAAGGGCTCAAGTGACACTTTATAGCTAAACTTTTCCTCACTTAATATTTTATGACTTTTTTTTTTTTTTGAGGCGGAGTCTCGCTCTGTTGCCCAGGCTGGAGTGCAGTGGCCAGATCTCAGCTCACTGCAAGCTCCACCTCCCAGATTTACGCCATTTTCCTGCCTCAGCCTCCCGAGTAGCTGGGACTACAGGCGCCTGCCACCTCACCCGGCTAGTTTTTTGTATTTTTTAGTAGAGACAGGGTTTCACTGTGTCAGCCAGGATGGTCTCCATCTCCTGACCTCGTGATCCGCCCATCTCGGCCTCCCAAAGTGCTGAGATTACAGGCTTGAGCCACCGCGCCCGGCCTATTTTATGACTTTTATGACTCTCTCTCTCTCTCTCTCTCTTTCCTTCCTTCCTTCCTTCCTTCCTTCCTTCCTTCCTTCCTCTCTTCCTTCCTCTCTTTCTTCCTCTCTTCCTTTCTTTTTTCTTTCTTCTTTTCTTTCTTTTCTTTCTTTCTTTTCTTTCTTTCTTTTCTTTCTCTCTTTCTCTCTCTCTCTCTCTTTCTCTCTTTCTCTTTCTTTCCTTCTTTCCTTCTGTCTTTCTCTCTTTCTCTCTCTCTTTCTCTCTTTCTCTTTCTCTCTTTCTCTCTTTCTTTCCTTCTTTCCTTCTTTCTGTCTGTCTGTCTTTCGACAGGGCTTCTCCTATCACCCAAGCTGGAGTGCAGTGGCAAAATCTCAGCTCACTGCAACCTCCACATCCCGTGCTCAAGTGATTTTCCTGCCTCAGCCTCCCAAGTAACTGGGACTTCAGGCTCACAGACACCAGGCCCTGCTAATTTTTGTACTTTTTGTAGGGACAGGGTTTTGCCATGTTGCCTGGGCTGGTCTTGAACTCCTGACCTCAGGTGATCTGCCTGCCCTGGCGTCTCAAAGTGCTGGAATTACAGCCATAGTGCCTAGCCTATGACTGTTTTTCCATATCTGCTCCTACCTTCCCATCCCCTGCACGAGGCCCATAGGTGGATGCAGCTGCTTACTCACTTATGGATGAGTACCTGACTTCCTGGTTAAGGCTTTTTTTGTTTTGTTTTGTTTTGTTTTTGTGAGACGGAGCCTCGCTCTGTAGCCCAGTCTGGAGTATAGTGGTGCAATCTCAGCTCACTGCAACCCCCACCTCCCGGGTCCCGGTTCAAGCAATTCTCCTGCCTCAACCTCCCGAGTAGCTGGGATTACAGGCATGCACCACCATGCCCAGCTAATTTTTGTATTTTTAGTAGAGACGGGGTTTCACCATCTTGGCCAGGCTGGTCTTGAACTCCTGAACTTGTGATTCGCCTGCCTCAGCCTTGCAAAGTGCTGGGATTACAGGCATGAACCACCGTGCCCAGCCTTTTTAAAAAAATTTTTTGAGGCAAAGTTTCACTCTTGTTGCCCAGGCTGGAACGCAGTGGCACGATCTCAGCTCACTGCAACCTCTACCTCCTGGGTTCAAGTGATTCTCCTGCCTCAGCCTCCTGAGTAGCTGGGAATACAGGCACCCTCCACCATGCCCAGCTAATTTTTGTATTTTTATTAGAGACAGGGTTTCTCCATGTTGGCCAGGCTGGTCTTGAAATCCTGACCTCAGGTGATCCACCCACCTCGGCCTCCCAAAGTGCTGGGATTACAGGCGTGAGCCACTGCTCCCGGCCTCTTTATATTTTTAGAGGCAGTATCTTGCTCTGTCCCCCAGGCTGGAGTGCAGTGGTGTAATCATGGCTCTTCGAACTGCTGAGCTCAAGCAGTCCTCCTGCCTCAGCCTGTTTTTTTGGTGGTTGTTTTCCTAATTATGAACACTATAACCTGTGACCATTCTTGTTGCATTTCCTTACTCAAGCTGGTTTGTTGTTTACTGTAAATTCTTAGAAGTGGGACTGACTGCTGGGTCCTATACTATGTGCCTTTTCCAGTTCAATATTGTCAAATCGTGTTTCAGTCACATTCCTCATAGCCTTTTGCCTTTGTTAGACCAAAAACCCCCAAAAAGGGCTGGGCATGGTGGTTCACGCCTGCCAATACAAAACCTCTTTGTTTTATACAGAAATGTTGCTTTCTTGTTTTCTTTCCAATGAAATTTAGATATGAAAATCTGACAGTGTACATCATGTATGACTTATGCAGTTTCCTTTGTGGGAGTGGTATTGAGTGAGCATCTCTTACCAGCTGACCTAAGACATTTTTAAATGACAGCCTCCATTATAAACTGTAATATAAGCCAGGCACGTTGGCTCCCACCTGCAATCTCAACACTTTGGGAGGCCGAAGTGGGCGGATCACTTCAGGCCAGGAGTTCAAGACCAGCCTGGCCAACATGGCGAAACCCTATCTCTAAAATATCCTACCTCTAAAAATACAAAAATTAGCTCGGCCTAGTGGTGTGTGCCTATAGTCCTAGCTACTGGAGAGGCTCAGGCAGGAGAACTGCTTGAACCCTGGAGGCAGAGGCTACAGTGAGTCCAGGTAGTGTCACTGCACTTCAGCCTGAGTGACAAAGTGAGACTCCATCTCAAAAAAACCCCAACTCCCCCCAAAATTTTTGATTTGGTTTGCATTTCTTTGATTATGTTTGAGGTCGATCGAGACTTGAGGCTGGCACTGGAGCAGGCGTTCCCACTTGTCCCGTGAGGTCAAAGGTTGTGGAGAGTGACCAAGTGCATTGGGGGTGCAGATGCCCTATTCTGACTCTCTCACGCTTGGCCATCTTAGAACACGTGAATGTACCGTGCGCGGTTTCTCAGCGTGTGGTATTTTCCTGGTGGGACAGATGTCACTGGAAGAGCCTTTCTCCAAGTGAGAGGCTACCTTGTGCTGTGACTTTTTTTTTTTTTTTTTTTTGAGACAGAGTTTCACTCTTGTTGCCCAGGCTGGAGTGCAGTGGCGCAATCTTGGCTCACTGCAGCCTACACCTCCCAGGTTCAAGTGATTCTCCTGTCTTAGCCACCCAAGTAGCTGGGGTTACTGGCACCCACCACCACGCTCAGCTAACTTTTGTATTTTTAGTAGAGGTGGGGTTTCACCATGTTGGCCAGGCTGGTCTCAAACTCCCGACCTCAGGTGATCCGCCCGCCTCAGCCTTCCAAAATGCTGGGGTTACAGGCATGAGCCACCGTAGTCAGTCATGCTGTGACTTTTAAAACATTTCAGTGGGAAAGTATGGACACTTCCCCCCGCGCCTAATATCTGACAGGGAGCGCATCTGAACTGCTGCAGAAGAGGCGGCGAGGAGAGCATTTTGAGGATCTGTGGGTTTTCGGGTAGAGAAAATCATTCGTGATCCCCTCTCAGAACTCTTCTAATCAGGTAGAGTTGTCCAGACATACGAAGCTCACCATTTAAAAACTGATTTTGCCGTGATTTCCAATAATAGTCACTTGCAGAATGTTGATGCAGCAGAATCAGCCACTTCCTGACCATCTACACTGAAAAACAGCTTGCAGCTCCGTTAAGTGGCTGTTGTTAGTAGAAGTGGAGTTCTGGAGGGGGACGCCGGTGTCTGCTCCCGGTGACCTGTCCAGGTGCAGCTAACAGAACTTGGGCCGCGGGGCTGGGCTCCCCTGGCGCTGGGCAGCACCACTTCGTTCCAGAAAGTACTCGCAGCCAATCTCACGGGACCTTCTTCTTTCAGTCCTTTCAGGGGAGCCAGGGACGCGCCTACCTCTTCAATTCCGTGTGAGTACCCTGGTTCAGCCTGGGGGGCGGCGTGGGCCCCGGGATGGCCTGGATGGCCTGGATGGCACCTCCCCAGCGCCCTGTGTAGAATCACCTGGTTAGGGGTCCTGAAAGAACCCACCATCCCCCGCCTGGGAGTTTCTGAAACGCACTAAGGATCTTGCCCCTAGCCTGTCTCATCACTGATCTTCCCCATTGATGGTGGGGGCGGGCAGGGTGGGGGGAGAGGCAGGGCGCTGCTCTTTGGGAGGTTCCCTGTTTTGGGGGAACTCTTAGGGGAATGGGGCGGGGCCCGCTGAGGGGCAGGGCCTGCAGCACGGTGGCCCCTCTTTCCCCTCAGGGTGAACGTGGGCTGCGGCCCCGCAGAGGAGAGGGTCCTTCTCACCGGGCTGCATGCGGTCGCCGACATCTACTGCGAGAACTGCAAGACCACACTTGGGTGGAAATACGTGAGTGCCGCCGGTTTCTAAGGGACGCTCGTGCCACAAGGGGATGTGCCACTAAGTTGCCACTGACCCACACCTCTCCCTGCAGTGTGGCCCCTGGTACCAGTCACAGCGCTTTCAGAAACCCCAGCTCCTCAGCTGAGGCGGGCAGTCCAGGCTCCAGTGAGGCATGACCACACGGCTGCCCTCCAGCCTGGGTGACAGGCCCCAACCTAAAACAAAAAACAAAACACATGTTCGGGCCCATTTCTTCCTAAGCCAGGCTGTCTGCACCCAGCCTGCCCTCCGCCCCTGAGCAGAGCCTGCGTGTGGGAGGAGGCTGAGAGGGCTGCGGGGGACTGCAGGAGGCTGTGCCCGCCGTCAGGGACAAGCCTGGAAGATCCCTCAGCGCCAGACCTGCTGGAGTGAGAGAGAGTCAGAGAGCCGCCCATGAGCAGCTGCCCAGATCCCTCTTCCCCGGAGACCTTGATTTGAAGGTCGCAGTCCCCACCTCCTCTCCAGCCTTCACCTCTAGTTCCCTTCTCTCTCCACCACGTGGCTGATCTGGCCTCCAAAGCCAACAAACCTGGCCCCCTCAGGCCCTGCACCCTCTTGCCCCACTTCCCTCCTCCACACTGCCCTGAGGTCTCTCTTCCAGGCTCCACTCTCTGCCCGACCTTTGTGGCCGAGTCCTCCCCTCCCCCAGGCCACCTCAGATTCCATGGTTTTGACCCCCTGGCCATCTGCCGTCTGGTGGGTGCTCCCATGCCTTCCCTGGCTTGTTTTTGTTTGTTTTTGAGATGGTCTCAAACTCCTGACCTCAAGTGATCCACCCACCTCAGCCTCCCAAAGTGTTGGGATTACAGGCATGAGGCACCACGCCCGGCCGGCCTGCCTGCCTTTTTTGAAGGAGGCTTTCCCATTCAGGCTCTGGTGTTCGCCGGGTCCAGGCCACCTGCTCTCCCTCTTTCCTGAATTCCTGATCATCTCTGGTCTCCCAGATTCCTCGTGAGCTTTGGAAGGCCACAGTTCACATGGTGGAAACGGGCTCCACAAGACTGGCACGCATCCCCAGCCCTTCCCCCTGGTCAGTCAGCCCCTTACCCATCTGTGGGCCCCACTTCCAGAAACCCCTGCCTTCCCTGCATGGCCACCACACTGCATTCCCCTCTACGGCTGCACCCGCTGCTTCCTGCTGGCACAGTCCTTCCTGTGTCTGCCACACCTGGGGCTGCCACTTGGGTAGGCAGGACCCATCTTGGTCTTCTGTGTCCCTAGCACCAGGCCACACACTCAGCAAAACAAAAGGATGAGGATGTGTCTGTGGGAGAGAGATGTTAACTCCTCTCCATGCAGGGCCTTCTCCAGATACCCTGTTTCTTTGTTGTTGTTGTTTTTGTTTTTAGACAGGGTCTTGGTCGATCTCAGCTCATTGCAGCTTCGACCTTCTGGGTTGAAGCGGTCCTCCCACCTCAACCTCCCAAGTAGCTGGGACTACAGGCACACCACACCCAGCTAAGTTTTTGTTGCGTAGGCTTGTCTCGAACTCCTGGACTCAAGTCATCCTCCTGCCTTGGCCTCCCAAAGTGCTGGGATTACAGATGTGCACCACTGTGCCAGCCTCCGTCACTCTCCCTGTATTTGCCTTCACTCTAGTTCTGCACAGAATTCCTGGAGTGTAGTCTTTTGCATCTCTTCAAGCCTCTTACATCGCCCCACACGTAGTAAATTTTCAGTAAACAGATCTGCATTCACACTGTCCTACAAGTAATCCCAGCACTTTGGGAGCCTGAGGTGGAAGGATCACTTAAGCCCCAGAGGCCAAGGCTGCAGGGAGCTATGACCACACCACTGCATTCCAGGCTGGGCGACAGAGTGAGACCCTATCTCAAAACAAGCAAATGAAAAACATTTTAGTGTATGTGCTGCCGAAGCGAGCACATGAAAAACTTTCAACAACAAATGTAAAGTAAACCTGCACTGCCTCAGTGGACTCACCTGGAACAGACCCCTCAGCGCTGGGTGAGTGCACAGCTCAGGGAACATCGGGGTATAGTTAATAGTATAGACTTGGGGGGTTTTTTTTGCCGAGTGATGAAATTGAAAAGTGAAACCTTCTGTCCTGAAACCTTCATCTCCCTTTTCTTTTTCAAGGAGCATGCGTTTGAGAGCAGTCAGAAATATAAGGAAGGAAAATTCATCATTGAGCTTGCTCACATGATCAAAGACAATGGCTGGGAGTAAAGTGCGAACTTTCCCTTCTCCTTCGAATGCTGTTTTGTGAAAGAAACTGAATGTAATGGAAACGTAGGAGCAGCTGGTGGCAGCCTTTCTTGCCCTCTGACCTCAAAGGCTAGCTGTGTATAGCTCTTGACACTCTCGGCCATCTCTGTGGGTAAGGTGTCCCCTCGGATCTGTCCTCTTCATGTACACGGTTGTTTCTGAAAATCTTCAGTGAGCTTTTTCTAACTTCTCAAGTTCTAGAGAAAGAATTAACCAACTGATGACTTACCCGCCTAGTTAATACCTTCCTTTCACCTTTGTCTTCAATATAGTTGGGCTCTGCTTTTTTAAGGTTCAGTTGAAAACCAAACTGAGGCCGGGCGCGGTGGCTCACGCCTGTAATCCCAGCACTTTGGGAGGCCGAGGCGGGTGGATCACCTGAGGTCAGGGGTTCTAGACCAGCCTGGCCAACATGGTGAAACCCCGTCTCTACTAAAAATAGCCGGGCATGGTGGTGGCTGCCTGTAATCTTAGCTACTCAGGAGGCTGAGGCAGGAGAATCACTTGAACCTGGGAGGCAGAGGTTGCAGTGAGCTAAGATGGCACCATCGCACTCCAGCCTGGGGCAAAAGAGGGACTCCGTCTCAAAAAAAAAAAGAGAACCAAACTAAGTCTCTGAAGACCATAGGGACAGGGTCTCTTTAGATAGCAAGTCTCACCATTCCCCTTTTTAGAGAAAAGGTATTGTAGCCCATCCTCCACCCCACTCTTTTTCTTAAAATTTGCAAAACTTCAAATTGGCTATTCCTCTTTCAAATGAACCACTGAAGTACAGTGTTCATTTAAGAGTCTTACAGAGGCAGTCAACAGACTTATACACTAAGGGTATTTTTGGTTTTTAGCCTGTTCAGAAACAGAGGCCAGCACTGATGACATTTTAGATACACTCTGAATTGAGAAATGTGTCTAGTGGAACAGGTTGTTTATTTAAGCCAGTAGATTCCTTATCTAGAAAGCAGGTGAGCTGGCCCTTAGAGAAGGCTGTCCCAGGGGCCTGCAGAGGTGCCGTTACTTGAGGCAACAGCCTCACGGGGTCTGGTACCAGGGGCTGTGCCCTCAGCGGTGACAGCAGCTTAGGTGTCAGGCAGTTGCTGAGGGGCTGGTCCATGTCGTTATAGAGGAACACACTGGACCGAGTAAAAGTCGCATTTCATTTTCTACCCTGGATGTACTTGAAGAAAAAGAATTATTTTTGCATATGAAAGAGGCCAGAACCCACAGGAAAAACTTCAAAACTTGACAGTTGCCAGAATGTTGAAAATTTGTTCAGAAAAGTTTAAAGCAACAAGACAGGTGTAGCCTTTGTGCATGAAGGCGCCTGGCCTGCTAGCCGCATCGCCCGTCCCTGCGTGGTGCTGTCCCACGTCACTTGAACTGATAGAGGGGCCTGTGCAATCTCCTAAGGCCTGTGTTTCTGCCACATATTTTATTATAAATTACAATCCACCCATCCACCTGCCCTCCACCGGGAGTGGGCACCCCATAAGGGTTTAGGCCACTTTGCAGAGGATGGAGGTCAAAAACCATTCCCAGATAAGTTTGGTTTTCAACATTTAGTAACTTGTCTCAGGGCACAGAGGGCAGGCAGGAGACTGGGGGAGGCCAAGGGGCAGCAGATAGGAGAGCACTGAGCCTGGATAGTTCTCCGCTTGGCGAGTGACTCTGAAGCTGCCTTCAGACAAGGCTAGTCTAGGGGCAAGAGTGCGAGCTGGCAGTAAGAACGTGGCCACCTGTCCAGCTTCACATCTCCCCTGACTTAAGCCCTTCCTAAACCCAGACCTACGGTCCATGCAGGCACTGGGCTGTGCCCACTCAAGCTCACTGCCCACGTAGAGCATGCCTTTGGGTGCCATCTCTTGGCCCAAGCCTCAGTATGTGGGACATGCCACTGCCCTGGTGGGCATGGCACTGAGATGCATCAACTCAGCAGGAGTGACAGAGGCAGAAGTTCCTTTAAAGCACATCTTCCACTTAGGAAAGGAAGGAAATTTTTGTACTGTCTTGTAAGCCTCCACATCCAGCTATGGCCCTGCAAGCTGCCTTATGCCTGCGCTAGTCTCCCTCACGGGTTCAGGCTGGCCCAGCACATCCCGACCTCCTGAGCTCGAGTGCGGCCATCTAGAGCGCAGGGGTCACTGCACGCTGCAGGGCTCTTGCTGCCCTGTCTCAAGCCTGGAGAGGCTCCGCCCACGAGCTGGCACATGAAGTTAGCAACACCTGTGGCTTCAGTCAATTGTCTGAGACTCTGAAGAGGCTGAGACACCTTCCCGACTGGAAGAAGTTGTTCACTGAAAACTTATTTTAAACTGACCCTTCCCTTCGAGTCTTCATTCCTCTCCCATGTGGGAACCCAGCCTTGGATGCCCTGGGGACTAGGGGAAACAGTTGGGGGTTTGTGCCGTCCCCAGCCTGCTATGGGTGTGAGGACAGCCAGGTCCTGAGTGACTCAAGATGCTTCACTTACATTGAAGAATCTTCTAAAACTCTTCCGAGTGGTTTTTGTACACACTCAAGTTCTATTTAGAGCTGTTCTGCGTGTTGGGCGAGTTCGCTGCTCCCTCGATTTGGGCACTTTGGTTTTTGTCTTTACTGACGGCATCGATTGAACATTTTTTACTAGTAGTCTTATGAATTTTCTTATGACTTATTTTGTATTTTTTTTTTGTAACTTATACCAACAAAACTTTTATCACTTTTTTGTTGTTGTTGTTGGGCTTCTGCAAAATGCAAGCTCATTTTTAAACCAAATGAATAGACCATGAGCTGGCGACAGGGGAAGTGCTATTCACAAGACCATGTCCACCACCCTCTAAAATTCCTGAACAATATCATCTGGGACTTCTATTTATTTAAAACAAATCTTCCTTGAGAGCCTTGGGAGGTGATGTCAGGGTTATAAATGGCACAGTGCATTTGCTGTAGGAATGTGGTTTGGCATTGTTTTATACACACACAGTATTTTTATACCTTAATGCTTATTCTTGATGGCATCTGTCAGATAATAGAATCAGAAATAAGAATCTTCCCAAAATCCTTTTATTTACCTGATGCCCTCATCAGGTTATTAAAAATTCAAGTGGTTTTAATAGCTAAAAACCTGCAAATTAAGCTCTAAAACAAACTACAGAAATGTAAACCTTCACTTGCCAAAGGTCCTTGGTGGCCTGTCCCCTGCCCCAGGGGCAGATGGCCCTGAAGCCCTTCCCTCACTGTGCAGGCCACTGGGTGAGGCTGGACGGTCACCCACGGTGGCTTCACTGCAAGAAGCAGGACTGCCAAGCTCAAGCACGGGGCCTTCAACTTCCCCTGTCCTCTGGCCATGCTGCCAGCCCTTGGTCCTTATCTGTGTGAGGTTTACAAATAAAGCTTCTGATGTCAAATGTTTAAGTTGTGCCCTCAGTGGACGAGGCCATGTCCTGATGCAGAAGGCTGAGCCCAGGCTCTCTGTGGCACCCCTGAGAGCAGAGGGCAGTCTTAGGTTCTTCCAGCTCTGGAGCCAAGGGCAGCCTGGTCCTACTTCTCTGCCCCCACCATTGGGGGGATTTGAATGTAGCCAGAGAATACAGTCAGGGCCAGCCAGGGTGGCCACAGGGTCCTCTCCAAACCTGCTTCTCCCTCCCTGGTCAGGCCTTCACCCCCCACCACCCACACCTGTACCCTGGATGCTGGCTCAGAGACCTACGGGTGTGCAGACACCTGTGCAGTCACTGTGTCCTACTGCACTCCTCCTGTGCAGGCCCAGCTTGGTGATGTGTCTCTTACAAGTGAGTTACTGCCAGGACTAGACCAGACCTCGCTGAGGACAGTACAGTGCCTGGCGGGAGGCATTGAGGGCGTCAAAAGTCACTCCAGGGGCCTGATCAACAGTCACAGGGGTGACAGAGGGATGGCTGCAGAGGGATGGGCTGGAGAAGAGGCGGAGCCAGCCGTGGTGCAGTTCTTGTTCTCAGCATGATGAAGGGACAGAGGCTGGTGTGCGGCAGGGTGATAAGGGGCAGACATGTCTCTAGCAGTCATCAGGCAGCCTGTGGCAGTGGACAGGGTGAGGCACGGATGCAGATGAGGTGCCACCCAGCATCCAGGGAGACAGAGGGCTTGGTCCTGCGGCTTCAGCATCAGTGATGAGAAAAGGAAGGGCAGAGGTACAGCCTGGAACTTACTGACAGGTTCAAGATTTGGGGCAACAAAAATGAGACAACCAAGAACAAGGCCTAAGTTAGGGCTTAGTGTGAAGAACTAGAAGTGGGGGGCCTGAGGGCAATAGGGAGCCTGAGAGGCGGAGGAGGGAAGGAGGGTCCATGACATGAGAACACTGACCACTGGCCTGGGCTGAAAACAGAAGAAAAAGCGAGCCAGGGGCACATTTAACAGAAAAATGGGGTCGAGGGAGGGTCTTGACGTTAGGAGATGCTGACGCAGCCGGCCCAAGGCCATCAGTCACCAGGAGGAGCAGAGTCTTGGAGCCCAATGGCCGGGCCTGAAAGCAGCAAGGCCACCTTCTCAGCAGGAGGGTGGGGAGACGGACTGCTTGTTCTCCTCATAGCCAGAGACACTGGCCTCGACCAGGTCTGGG